ATGACGCCATTTGCCTAACAACAAGAGATGAGAGTCAGTTACGGCTATATGTAGTAGTCTGCGGTGGGCACAATGACGTGAAGAGATAAGCTTTTTATGAACTAGTATGTGCTACATGTAACTAGAGCAATCCCGTTTATTTCAGTATCTGGCAGATTTATGATGATGATTGATGTAATGTATCCAAATTACAAGAATTACGTCTCCTGTATACATAACATATATGCCAGCTTCTTGTAAGTATGCAGTTTTACAAATCCATCCAACATCCGTCTGTCCAGCGTGTTCAATTAATATAGAACATTTTCAGATGTGAACTTATCTTTCGTTTTGACAAGCGATACTCTGTTTCAACAGTCGTGGCAGAAAATGGACTTAATATTCTTCCTTAGAATGGTTTTAAGAAACCAAGTAGCGTTTTGAGGTGTTCTTTCAGGGTATTCATCCAACCTGAATCAATGAAACGGGGACGCTATGTCAGTATATAAATCCAAGAAATAGGCAAGTCCTCGTGCCTTGTACGCTGGTGGCTGATTTGGGCTGCAGTGGGGTACGCTGACTACTACTCCGTTGATCACGACTAGAAGATTTTCATTCCCAAAGAGTTGAAAATCGCAGAAATAAGTGGTATACCTTGCCGGCACGATTCCCTTTTTAAAAGAGGCATTGACTGATGATCCCAAAGACGTCGGCGGTCTCTGAAATGTAAAGGTATGGTTAGACAACGCAACCAACCGTTGTCAGGGCAACGCTATCCTGAAAACTCAATCTTGGGCCACCATTTTGACACATCATTAAATTTTCATTCAACATTATCCGGAAAACTTCACGCGTTTCTCAGAAAAAAAAGACTCATTGAAATTGTTTTTTACCAAGGATCATTAACAGTAAAGAAACTGACTTATTGACTGCTCATACATTGTGATAATTTTTTTTTTTTAAAGGGCTGATTAAAAATAGATTTGTAAAATAAGAAAAATAAAAAGGGACAGTTTTCAGTGATGATAGTATTGTGCGTTAATCAAATTCTTAATCTTTAATCTTCGTTAATCTTTCTAATTATTCAAATATTACTAAAATGTCTGAGAATGTTTTCTCAGTGTGGCAGTATGTTACTAAGTTACTGAATTTCCCAATGAACATTTTGTACAATAAATGAACTTCCCTCTGAAATGGCCTGATGATGCAAGGAAAACGGCACAAGTTCATGTATTTACTACTACTCTTTAGGCGTTTCAACAACGCTACATTCCACCTAATTCCAAAAACCGTCATTGTGAGAGTGCAGCTGTCTGATATGTGGGTCGGCCTGTGCTGTAACTAGTCATTTGTAGTTTTTTCCTTTAAGTTTTGGGCGTTTAGACAGCAATGAAACCCGCTGTGTTTGTTTTGCTCAGGTAAGGGTATCTCAAAATCGGGTTTCACTAGCATAATACTTAACGAGATCGACACCAAGTTCATGTAGTTTCTAATGTACACGGCACACCTATGTCTTGTAAAATTAGTTCTAATAGGACTCTCTTGTGCCCACTATGGGTGAATTTGAACGGACAGCCAATTTTCTTAAATGTATCCTATTGGAATTTTTCTGCCAAATAATATTCTCTCAGAGAAAGATTTTCCAACTCGCGAACCGCTGATCAACCAATCCTTTGGCTTCGATGTTATATTCTAGTTTAACTGTTCACTTCTAAATAGCTGCATAACCAGTCACTTAAACCACAATGTCTTCTTGTATATTTCAGTGGGAAATATCTTAAGTCACACCAGGTTCTTTTTCTTTATTTAAATAATTTATTTTCTTAATGTTTGAACCTGTAAAAATAAGTAGCTCTGCGGCATATATAGGCTTTCGGCTCGCCCAATGTTGGCACGAAAAATATGACTTTGGGACGTTTTCAAAGGCAGATAGTGCACCTTTAAACACTATTCACATTCTCCAGTTGTATACTTCAGACTCAACATCTTATTTCATATTCGATTGAACTTTCACATGTACGAGAAAAAGGTTAATAAAAAAGTAGCCCACGAATTAACTGAAACGCCACGTATCAACTTAACGGGGCCATTCACTCTTTATAAGATTTCCGGTGCCCTGCCCAGGATAGCTTGCTCGGGTCAAAGTGAGCTTAAAAAACTTGTTTTATTATGTCCTCAGTAGTGGTACTTATCTGTTTGATCACGCCCCCTTACCTTAACTCACCCCGCTTTAGTACCTGCGTTCTTTCAAAACTATAAGCAAGAACGTATATATTGGAGGTTGCAGTCAAGCCATTAACAATCACCCTGTGCTTGGCAGTATATTACTGTCAACTCTATTCAGGCCAGTTCTCAGAAATTGAAGAGGGATACATTAAAGCCACACAATGAGCTCTTGACCTTTTCAAAGAAATAAAACCAAGTTTCCTAGAAATTGCAAGATTCTTTCCCTAATCACCAAGATGCACCATATCCAAATCCCTGTGGAATACATTACGGTCTATAAACACGCGTCTTGAAGTCTACATTTCTAATATTTGGACCAATCTCGTAGTGTCGAACTTCACTCGTAAGGGTGAAAATAGAAATTTAAACTCTGAAACCGACTCATTTGTAGAAAATTCCTAAAAATCAATGACTAAAAATACAGGAAATACAGACTTGACATTTAATATGGAATATTTTTTTCCAAATTATATTTTGTCAGTTTTTTTCCTATTTTGCTGACTTATAAATGAAAATAAGGATTAAAATGGCGTTTTAATAACTTTTATTTATCTCTTTGATGTCATTGTGACATCAGTTCATCAATTGTATTCGCCAGTGAAGCGAACAAAAATGCATTGCCTATTTTAGGTCATACGGCAACCATTGAAAGCGATGTTTTGGATCTCTATATTTTCCAAATTATCGTCTTTAAAAGAGTTATACGCCCAACAAAGGACCCTCATGTCAGTGTCTTGTCACAGCAACGGTGGCTGTTACACCTGACCTCACCTGGCTGCTACCAGAGCTTTCAAGCGGCAAGGCATTCCTTAGGATAGGTTTTTAGAGTTTAATCTGGAAAAAAATTCCAGGCAACGGTCAAAACTTGTCCAGTTTGGTTCAGTTTTGTTGTAGGACATGCAGGCCGTTGATTCGGAGAGTAATAACCTACCCACGTATTGTCTATGTGGTTCAAATATGGCGATTTTGATGACCAATGTATCTGCTCAATTCCTCGGCTCTGTCAGTTATCTGCTATTAAAAGTGCTCTGTGTGAACGGGCAATCTCATTGTGCAACCTAAAATTGTTCCTAAGGTGCCCCCTATCATATGATAGTCAAATGGTCCCCACATTATTCCTTTATTTCATCTGGTTTAGGTTTTTATCAATGACTACCATTGGTGTTTTGGCACCAATGTGGTATTCACTCCAAATACTGACGCTGTCAATGACCCTAGTCACTTCAGAAGCGGCACACGACTTGTCGTAGGCCTCTTCTGGATGTCTGTAAACTCTGTTTGGACCAGTTAAGCGGTACAGGTGAAATCTGACGTCAATAAAGAAAGCCACGCGGTTTCAGTGTTCTACCCAGAAAGGGTCATGGTCCTCAATTCATTACAGAAACAGACGACACTGTTTTGCTGTTTACAGTGGCTTCCTCAGAGGTCGTTTGGTATCCTAACCTGCTAAAACCAGTTTGATATTCGCTAAGAGCCTTGAAAAACGGGTTTTGGTCACAATTTGCCCCTCATTCTGAACGGACTGGGTGGGTTTGTTTAGTTACAGCAGCATATCCTGAAGGACAGTGAGTCCTGTACCCTGGTGGTAAGATGTCGATACATTGGCCGTGGTCTCTGTGTAGGTACATCAGTCTGGGTATAACTCCATAAAACTGTGCTGGCCATTTCGTTTGACACAATTATCTGTCTGGCAATGTCTGTCTTTTTCGCGCCATTCTGGCACAGATTAACAATTTTGTTTAACTCATTTTAATCACTGCAAAACTGACCGCTTGCTACATTTCAAATTCTTCTATGCAGTAGTTACCGACATATGGATACTTTTTTAACAGCACCATGCTTCGCCAAAGCCAAGCTTTGGCTATCCCAAAGGGGCACTACCCAATTAAATCACTGCATATTACACAATGCAGCAGTGCACCAGACTTGGTAGTCAGTTAATTGGTAGCGACACACCTGACTTCACACTTCTCCAGTCAGATATTTTATGTGAGATCTGAGTTTTATGAAAAAAAGAACGCATTTTTACCAAGATATACCTTTGAAACTGAAATATTCCATACTAAATGTCAAGTCTGTACCTAAGTGGTTAATGTAAAAATGTGAAATCTTGGAAATTTTGTAGAAGTTTCCTTTATTATGGAAGGCTTAACGCACACTGTAATGGTATGTTCTTTTTGGGGAAAAGGCAGCAACTACAAGCGTCTAACAAGGAACGTCACGGCACAGATGTTCGCCGTGAGATACGGCTGCGTCGATAATGGTCGAATTCTATAGATTCTAAACTATATATGCATGCGATTGACCTTAACGCGTATCGTAGAATAACCATTTGATTAATTAGCTTTAAGAGCTACTGGGTTTGTAAAGGTTCATTGTCAGTTGGCCTACACAATTCAACCAACTATAAGCAACAATTTGGATATAAGCTTCAAAGACCAACTTTTGTTACATTACCTACATGAAAGCTCATTACCTACATGAAAACTTATAAAATAGTATTTATCACTTATTACGTCAGATTGCGTTTTATGTTTTGGTCAACCTTCCATTCATAGCGCCTGGACCCAATATCGTATATCTGGTGGATTTAAAAGTAACATTCACGGTTCCCTTGTAGTAAAGCATTATGAACCCTCAAAATTATGTCTTTGATGAAGATTGTTATAGCAAAAAACTTATGTTTGGTATGTTTCATCGTTTAGATTCCTAGAAATACCTATTTAAGTGCATTTCCATAAAATTAAAAACTCGCCCTAGGCAATAAATAAATAAATAAAGCAAACGATATTTACCTGATAACAATACCTGTAAGCTTTTCGAAGGATCGCAAGTGATTGTTTGTTGTGTTCTCTGGCTCAGCCAAACTCCTCAAATGAAAAATATTCTGTTCTCCTCACTGCTTTATACATGAACGTGCATCTAGCACAGTTTACACTAAAAACTTTCCAGATTTACAGGTATAGAGAACCTGGTGTGTTATCTCTTATTAAGCGGCCCTCTGTTGTCTTCAATACTTCGTACGTTTCGACGAGTTTTATAGCGCCNAAAAAAAAAAAAAAAAAAAAAAAAAAAAAAAAGATCTTGAACCTTACTCAAGGAAGAAGGCGGTTTAATGGCAATAAAAGGGGCCATGCTGGAGAGATGGAGAGATGATGTCCATTTGCCACGCTCTTCGTGTGCACGGCATAGCTCCTGCCGGTTTCTACCTCATTATTGCACATCGTGTGGGTGCACACCACCCTCAGGGCGCATTCCCAATGAAACTATTGTTCTACGATGATCGGTCAAACTCCGCGGGAACTCTCACTGTGTGCAATCAAATAAACTAAGGGCGTATTCCCATAGATTTTAGATCGATCTATTCCCGTGGGGAGTCTCGCTAGATTACTGTCAGATAATCCGGCTTAAATGTCCGTCCCGCCTACTACAAGCTGTAGGGGGGTAATTAACTTTCGTGCCCACTCGGCTGACAGCTATTTAGCGTGAACCCCCAGGGAGTTAGGTCGATCTAGTTTGGATCGATCTAATCTCTGGGAATGGGGTCTAAGTAACACGCCTCCTCTTGTTTGCAACTTACTCGTATAATTACCGGATTTTCTGTATTCTACTCAAGAGGAAGCGAGCTAATCTTTTGGTCTGATTGCATTCAGCAGAGTTTGATCGATCAACGTAGTTCCATAGTTTTATTGGAAACGAGCCCTAAGTTTCATAGGACATTCATCCAATATTTTCCCGTGTAAACCCGCCTTCAAACCGTATCTCTTGCCACATAATCATGATCTGTTTAATGGGTTTCTGATGTTTCTGTTCCGGGGTGTTTAAAGTCTATGTTGGACATCTATGTTCTGTTAATTAATTTCATTTCCCTTTTAAGCGTCGATGTTTGTCCGGCAAAGCCATTTGTTAAGTAATTATTTCGTACAATTCCATTTCAAATTTTGCCAAGAGTTGTACACGGCGGTATGTGTGAAACATTAACTTCACCGTTTGGCAAAATAGATAGAAAATGGAAACAAATGCTCCCTTTTCAAATTATCGCCATCGTTTTAACCTGTAGTGTAATGTTCCCTTGCTGATTTCTTTTATACTTCAAACAACTGCCAAAAAATTTTCGTCAACCAGTTCAAATCAAGTTGTTTGTCAAAGCCTTGTAATAGTTAGAAAAATAATTACACTGTATTTTTTTTTTTTCAAATTTCGAAAGACAAGAGTTCATATTGTCCAATAAGTCAGCGCATCAATCGTTTTTCAATTTATTGGATAAAGTAACTTTTTTGTCATAATGTATTGCACATTTAGAGAACCTCTTCCTATGGATAACAGAGGGAAGAATTCTCAAATGTATCAGTTCTGAATGTCTGATTTGTTAGTCAGTTAACGCCATCCCAAGGCACAGACACTTGATGTTATGTCGATAAAAACCATGTTATAAAACTAAGAAATGAAACCCGACTGCTATTCTCTGGGGGGAGAGCTGCGGTGGAACTAACCGTAATATTCCATTAAATTCCCTTACATTATTGAAATGGACATGGGATTGACTGTAACTCGACTGCATACGTGCCATTCTTCCATTCTCTGGTACTTTGATGTTTTTCAGAACATCTATTTATCTTTATTATCTGGCAATGTTCGCTGAATTGAAAAGAAAAAAAATGCTGAGCGACTTTCTCTCAAATACGTACGTGTTATCTAACTGGTAATTAAAGCACGTTGAAGGAAAAAAACATAGTTTGATTGGCATTCATAATTGTCGAGAGACGCGATGGGTACAGCTACTTGCTTCAGTAAAAACAAAATAACGATAATGACCGAAAAAAGAGATAATTTTTTTAAAAATTAATAAACAAATGAATACAAAACAACGAGAACAAGTTCGACTTGTTTGGTTTGGTAGTATATGAGATGAGATGATTTATCACTAATTTTATTGAAATTGCCATGGAGATTAAGTTCTATGTCAGATAGTAAAGTTAGACCCTGCTAAATGCCTTCAATTAAACAGCAGCGGTTCTGACATGTGTTCCCAAGCTCTCTGCGGGAGTTTTTACCCACGTACTTCAATATAAAACATCCGAGATAGGCTGGCAGTTCTAGTGACGTCATCCGAGATTGAAAAACTTGCGAGAAAACGCATGAGGTGGGATATGCCATACGCAACAACGGTGAAACTATATGCGCCAGGAATGCTGTCTAAAAAAGGGGTGCCAAAATAACACGCAAAAAATTGTGAAAACGTACTATCTGACTTATATATAACGAACAGCAATTCTGAAGATTTTAACAGAAAACCCTACAGAGCATATGAGAAAACAACCAGAAGAATATTTTTCGATAAATTCTGTAAGCTTGCATCGTAAACCTGTCTAAAACCGCCCTCGCTAGTCTGTCATTACTTGTGACACAACTCGACTTCAAATTCAACGATATATCCTTCTTGAATTAACTGTAAATCGCGAAAATTTGGACTATTTCGGATGTTTTCCATTCCTTTTTATTTAACTCTTTACGACAGTGCTACGTAGTTATCAACAGTCACCCTTACATCTTGGATATATGAATATCTTTGAATTTGTAGGTAATTTCATTTCTTGACAAAGTACCGCATATATAGCAGTCCGTAAGGGAAACAATCACTTTCCGACATTTTCGACAGCAAATTGAAATTTTTCCTCTGACTTCATACTGTAACAATGTGACATACTTTACTTGCAACAGCTTCAATCGGCTCTTAATAGATGAACATGGTAAAAAAATCATCAATGCGATACATTTTCTTTGTTTAGCTTTGGTTCTTAGATTACATTTATCCTTGTCTTTTTAAATAGTCTCCACGATTTGGTGGGAAAACTGCAGAGACTTATATAAAAACCATGAAACTGTGATTTACATACATCTATCAATTGAAAGGATTAGTTGCTATGTTAATGTACAGTACGATACAACAAAATCGGAAAGTCGACACACGTCAATTTGCCAAACCTGTTATATTTATGACAAAGAATTTGTTGAGAAAACTGGCATATTTACCTTACTGCATTATCCTTCATTTCCTCATGGCAAAGCATTCACGAATCTACGGTAGTGACTTGCGAATACAACCTGGTGAAAATAATCTTGCCTTATACAGGGAATTATATCCGATATAATATTCCCTGCCTTATATAACCAATATCGTTACGCCACGCCTCACGGAAATGTTTATAAATGCTATTACTTTGACTGTTCATGTTTGAAATGCATAGAGGTCTAACATGAATTAACAAGAGCACGAATAGGAGCTGTGCTTTGATATCTCATTAGTTGCTAATCATTATAATGCTATGCACCAAATTAGAAAGAATACGCAAACCCGCATGTTATGCAGGCGGCATCCAACTGCCCAAAAACGTAATCACCTATCCTTCGATATCTTGCGAGTGTTTCATTTCCTCAATTAGAGAAAACCTGTATAAATGTGAATCGTAAACAGTTACTAGTGAAATTGAGTGACATCTCTGAGATCAGGAACAGATAATTCTGCGTTTCAAAAACGTTTTATTCTCTAATGGTATTTCTTTAATATCCGGTTTTAAACAGTAACGTTAATCGTCCAACCCGAAGGGAAAATATACCAAAAGGGTTGGAAAACAGTAAGTGCTCTTAATTCAAGAAATAATTAATCAGACTAACAAAATCCTGAGCCATGTTGCCATTTCCAAGAATTCAAAATTCCCAGAATCGAGAAGAGCGCGTGGGCAAACTATTCGTCAATCTAAGTGGCATTTTTTCAATGCACAATACATTTTCACCAAAACATTACAGCATTCGTTATTTAATAAATTCAAGTCTATAATCCATAAAAATATGTCCAGCAGGCTTCACAAGAGTTCTTAAAACATATGTACTATATGGAAAGCAAGATATAATACAAATGACTATACAGAAATAGTAATTTAGAACTATACAAGTAAAAAAAAAAACTTGGATTAAAATATGGCTGAAGTCATGAATAAAATATTTTTAAAAAATCTTTTTAAAAACGACTCCTGTATTTCTATTGGTTTTTCAATGGATTTAAAGCTTAATGCAATCCACCGTTTTGGAGATATTAAAACAAGTCTGCTTTTCTGTCATTTCCTTCTTATACCTCCCTGAAAGGCAATTTCGCTTAATTACTTTAAATCCACAACAGATATCGATCTAAGTGGAAGCCGAAATTGCCTTTATTTGTACATATTCTCCAAGTAAGCCAAACAGAGTTATCCAGGTTATTTCCGGGATATATTAATGTGATGGCCCATGCTTGAGGCATGAATTATATATATATATATATATATATATATATATATATATATATATATATATATATATATATATATATATATATATATATTTAACCGTAAATGGAGTAGTAAAAACGAGATGATGAACACGGTTTTAATGTTATATATATATATATATTTAACCGTAAATGGAGTAGTAAAAACGAGATGATGAACACGGTTTTAATGTTACCCTCGGCAAATTCGCAATCGCGCAAATTAGCTGGCTCTAGTCTGCGATAATTGTGGTCAAAATGATACCTTGTGAGCCATACTCTCTCAAATTTGTGTTATAAAATTAAAATAATTGCTTGCGGTGTCCATTTTAAAACGATAATTTGAACGATGTTTATTTCGTTTGGCAGTTATCAGTAGAATACACACATGAAAAGTAAAAGGTACTCTACCGGTACACGCGATTTTTCCTCGAAATAAATTTTTGTCTCCCACTCACGAGTCATTACTCGACCCGTCCTTGTACTTGGCTTCATTGTTTTATTCCATTTTTAAATTGGTTGATTTAGTTCTAAATGACAGGTCACTATGTCTTTCTGGACATTTCAGAAGGGAACCACCGACGTTTGGTACTTTTTTTAAAGAGGTTCACAGCTTTAAGGTCTGAATTAGGAGAGATCAGTGGCTTTTCAGGATACGTTGACATAGAAAATATGACTTTCAGAAATATTCAACTGCACACAGTATACCTTTAACGTCGTCTACTTATAGTAACTTATAGTAACTGGCTCGCGCTGCCAGTAATTACGCCGCGGGATATTCAGTGCACAGACCGTGATCATAAGACATACCGAAAACAGAAAATAGAAAATAGACATTGCATGTGAACGAAGCCTAAATCTAGTAACCAGCAGATCCATGATGAATAAAGCCAGGGCTGCAGAAAAGCCGGCAAACACTGCGTGAGCTCCCCAAGCTATTCGATAAGCACAATACTTCTTACAATGTTAAAGTAAATCCTGATTTATTGACCATATGCATATATTTATATACGTGTATTTGACATTAAAGTTCAACCCTCCCAAACTGGAACTACCAGTACAGTCAAGAGCGTGGTCACATGCACCCAGACTAACTTACAACTCGCGTTTCCAGATGTCTCGATTACAGCGACACCTTTACTGGGGCAGTGACCTACATAGAGTATCTATGTATTAAATATGCTCCGGCCTTGATATCTCTTCCAATTATTTAGTCCACTGGAAAGACCACATACAGTTTTGGACTAAACTTCAGTTCACCTGCTAACAATGTCTAATTCTAACTGTACATCTGTAAATACAGCAAATCATCGGAATGTTTTGGCTACGTAAGGCTCCCATACAAAGATACTGTAGCTTATGAAGACCTACAGCTTGCAACACTGAGGGATATTCAAGGATTGTTTTTTGTTTTAAAAAGTATTATTTTTAAATCATATATTTACAAACATTCTGTTATACATAATATTACTCCATGATCACCACTACATTTAGGGACAAGCAGCAGCTGTTAACCTTGCTTATTATATATATTACACATAACCAATTAAACACATTAATAAATCGTCCGTTAAGCCTATATTATCTTATGTTAACTTTTATCTCTCATTGTATTTAAGTAATAAGCTTTGAAAAGACTTGGTCTTGCTAAGCTACAAGCTCAATTATCTCACAACAGGTAGCTGAGGAACTGTCTCACTGTGTGAGTTGGGCTTGTCACTGTGACAGAGCTAAGTGTTACCAGACACTACAGTTACAAGCATGTACAGTTTTAATAATAATAATAATAATAATGATAAAAATAATAATAATAATAATAATAAATGATTACAACCATCTAATGTACAAACAAAGAAGCAGGACTGCAGTCAATTTGATACCAGTTTATATTAATCTATAAGCTACTGTCTATCGTATTATTTACATGTGTGATCTTGTGTTAAAAGTGCTAGTGAGCATAAGTAGTGAAAGGAAAATTTGGTATTCTTGGGTATGTCAAAGTATAGCAATCGTGATTATCTACAAAGTGAACAATTCTGTGATGCACATTTGTATAAAAAAAACATCAAAATAACTTTGGTCATTTTGGCTAAAGGAAAGCAATTTTTATCACCTATAGAAACAATATTGACTAATAAAAAAATGACAATGTCAGCAGACTCTCAATTCAACAGTCAGATGAGTGTGATTTTCAATAATTTTCAGTCAAATTCAAATAAACAATTTTTTTTTGGCAAAATTCCAGTAGGGTATAATATAGTTAAAGCAATTATACAACCCTTTTTTAATTCATTGTTATACAGTATTTCTGACAACCATCACAGAACACTAATTAAACTTTTAATAATTAATTGATTAAATCCTTTTTGAAAACACATTGCATATGTTGATTGCAACATTGATACCTTCTAAAACAATACTGATGCTGAAATCAGTTCATCGTTTTATTAATGAAATCACATACACAAAAGAATCCCATATTTACCAATATAAATAAATAATCAAATAAATAACTAAAATAAATTAAAAATAAATGGGACTTCAACCTTGATAGACCCTTTCATCAACTCTTAAATATCATGTGAAAAACATAAACTACTGAAAAATTACTCTCAGTAGCTGGGACCTGACTTGTAAAACTATTGAAAGCATCATATGTAAAGACTGGCAAATCTTATATTGACAAAATTATCCCTGTATTTTATATTCATCTCATAAAATATAACTGTCAATAAGGCAAGTAGAAGATAACAATCTGAATATTTGAAATATCACCCTGTAAAATATCACCTGGTCATCAGTTGCCAAGCTTTCACAACGAATTAAAAAAAATTGTGTGGTCTGTAAAGATTTTAAATTGTGTTTAATATTTGTGGGCGCATCAACATCATGACCAAATTAAACCTGAATATACCAAGTGACATCACCAATGATTAGTTTACATAGGGGGACACCACAGGGACAAGAACAGTCCAATCCCCATCTATGACCTTGTGTAAGCACGCCATGAGAAACCTTTGCTCTGTGCACAGCCAAGTAAAAACAGGCATTATAAACATAATGAACAATGATACAATTGGCTATACTTTATATCTATACATGGTACCTTTGAATTGTATGCCCGATTATAAACCTTAACCTATAGCATATCAACCACTTACTTTTATTTCTACAAGATGATGCACATCATGCTTATCTTTCTTCTAATATTACAATAAATATGAAATCTGTTGATTGAAATACTAGATAATACCTTTGTCTTTTATAAATAATATGAAAAGCAATATGATGGATATAACAAATATTATTAGCCACAGAGACATTGTTTTCAATACAAAATTTGTAATCCCTAGATACAGAGGAAATGGTTTTCATAGACCTTTATGGCCATGCTGGTAATTATTTTTATTGGTTGATTTGGGGATGAGAAGGTTGTCCTTTTTGGTCATGATTTCGTGGAAAAATGGGCAAAATGATGATAAGAAGGAGGTGGAGGAAAGTTCCAGGGTTCACCTCACTCTGATTCTAACACTTACACCATCACCACATCTTCTTCATCTACAAACTCAAACTCATCGGTCGATGCTCCCCCTTCACTTGTTTTCCCGTCAAATGGCGGAGGCGTAACATGCTCTTCTGATTTATCAGATTTTTCTGCCTTTAAATCAGAAATGTGCTCTTGTTGTTGTTGTTTTTGTTTTAGAGAGCTATCTTCAGGCACAACATCCCCACTTGGCTTGTCTTCAATGGTGGCTCTACTAGGCTTGTCTTGTTTAGTGCTGCCACCTAGATTAAGAGCAGAACTCTCCTCCTGTGTTGCCACAGCATCATTTGCACCAGAGTTCCGTCCTTTGAATGCATGTGGCTGGTCCTCTTTCTTCTGAAACTGGGATTCCATCTCCTTGGAAAGAGCACTGAACAAACTGCGGGTTTTCTGCTGACGCTCAGCAGCAGGTGTGGATGCCAAGTTGCCGTGAAGGGAGCGTGAGCGTGCCATCACATCTGAAATAAAGATATATGACAAACTTTACTGACTTCACTGGGATTCCTCAAGATGTGACAATTCCCCTTTGCAACTCATTACGTTTGAATAGGACTTTGAATCAACTATCATACGATATTTTCTTTACATTTTGGGAGACCCTGTAACAAAATGTTATACACTGCATATAGCAGATGAATGCAACATGCTGTTGATATCAAGCTTTCTTTAGAGTCAAATGGAAATGTGACAGCATTGTGAAAACCTCAATTTGTAATCTTAAGGAATATCATCATTTAAATATTTTGATTATGTATTTTATCGACTCCGTCAAGATCCCTTTAAGCAAATGACTGAGTGGTCCTTCTAAGCTTATTACCAAAACTGAAAGCAGCCCTTTTTGGAATTGTACAGCCACATTTTATTCTTTAAAGCAAATAAAACAACACACTGGCCACTTTTTCTCTAACCAATAAATGCTCTTCACACTACTTGTTCGCAACACACAAAACACTACAACTGTGACATATTGGACAAAGCTCATGGGGAGAGTTTCACCCTTTTGTTCCAGAGAAATCTATCCGTCAGTAACATGAAAATTTCCCATAAAGTTATAAGTATTCCAACTTACACAACATTTGGTATAAGTTTCAATAAATGATGGAATATGAGAATAACTTTATGTTGATCCAATGAAAATGTTTGGCAGGTTAGGAGAAAATTGGTGAATATTATTATCTGTTGAAATACAATTCATTTTGTCAAAGGTCAACAAGCAGTATCATTATTGATTGAGTGGTATTTTGAGAAAGTTGACACGAAAGGTTTAAATGTTAAATTAAAAATAAAGGTAAATAAGCCATTTTTATGGGAGTAAGATTATAAGCCTGTTACAATTTGCAAAATAAAAACAAATATCTGCCATTATTTCATAAAAATCTACTGTATGGTCTACCAGTGACTGTAGGCTCAGTGACAATCTTATGAATAATTAAATAAATGCCGAATAAAGTGTTGTGATTAATTCAGTTATTACGTGTATAAGTGTTTGCTTCTTTCCAACATTTGAAAAAAAAAATCAAAGCAAAATATTGCAAAAAAAAAAAAAATCAATTAATATTGCCTAAGCATTAAAATTGGAAAACAAAAGCCAAGTATAAAGCTGGCAGCACAGCAATGCATCTGGCAAAATCCCATTACCTCACAATAACCAATGGTATCACTGATTAGTTATACAGCAATCGACTGGAAAAGGCACAAACACGTTTGAATACAGTATTGTCTACGTGCATTACTATACTGATCATTTTATGAAGAATGCAGCAAAACACGCAATATATTTTTCAAGTGGTAGGGTGGACAATTGTTAACAGCACCACATTTGGCATGCTTTATAAATTTTTTAATGATTATTTTTTTAAAATGGGCTACAAAGCTATATTCATCAATTTAGCATTTACCAAATCAGAGATACAGTATTAAGACATTATGCACAAAATATCGTCAGCACAATAAATTCAGTCAATAAATTGATAAAATATACAGTAACAGTATCACTGCTACAGATGGGATGTTTGTATATAAGACATAACCTGGTTTTCTTAACAGATTATATCAAATATATTAATACACATGCAGGTAACAGGTCACAGGAACATCTAGGAAAACAAGATTCCCTTTGGCTGGAATGAAACTTGGGGTATAAACAGTTTTTAAGACTTTTTTGGATGATGAGATGATTGTGTGGTAGATTATATTACTTGTGGCATGGATGTCAAGTTTACATACTATTGGCAACTAGTTTCATTGTTTAAGACCTTTCATGCTCATTGCCTTTCTTCACTCAGTTGCAAAAATGGGTACCAATGCAATGTGATGGAAAGCAAATTTCAGCAAGACTAGCATCCCATCCATGGGAACATAAAGACCTGTCAAGTGCTTCTCACGATAGAAACTAGACATGAGCACTGGTCTGGGCATCCCCTTCATAGTGTTAATCCTTTTTTATTTTTGGTATTATTTTTAACAATTTCTAGAAATCTTAACCAAAGAAACCTTACTATAAGATCCAAATCAAATCTGCAAAACTGTGCTCTGCTTTCAGTACTGACATTAGACTTATCAAATAAATCAAGAGTACAGTAATGTAAAGGTTGGTCCCAGGACAAATTGCTTTTCTGCTTTCACGTATAAGTCTACAGAAAAATAGAGGTGAGAAGTAAATTAAAGTTATTTACCTGTGGGTAAAGATTCCTCAGAGCTGTGTCCTGTCTTGTCTGCCAGGTCCTCTGTGCTGCTGCTGCCACCTAGTATCTGATCTTTTCCTGGAGATTCTTCAGAATTCTCAGCGTGGTCCTCATTGTCTTCTAACATGCTGGATGGGCGGGAGGTCGACTCTGTGAGAACAATGTGGAAGAATTAGTGACACTGAACATGGTCAGTCCATTTAATTGCAACTTAATGTAAAAGAAATCTTATGAAGACATAGCCATGTTGCAATACTGTAAATATTTCCTGAAAATCTTTTTAAAAGTACTTCTTAAATCATTATGTATATGTATGTAAATGAATTCAAAAATTCATTTTTAAGAATTCAAAGGCAACACAATACAACTATCAGAAAAAACCCTGATCAGTATTTATAAAGATTGGACTAACCCTCTTCCTTGGTGCCAGAAGCATCTTTTCCTGCTGGGCTCCCTTCTGGAGTCATGGAACCTGCCTTAGGGCGGGGCTTAGGTTTGGGTTTAGGTGCGACTGGGGGAGGTTTGGGGCGAAGTAAAGGCTTTGGTTTCATTGGTTGCTTCGGGGAGGGTCCATCTGTGCTGTCTTCTATGGGAAAAGCAGAAGGGAAGATAAGATATGAGCAAAGGGGTTAAATAAAAAGATACAAGTGTGGAGTTGGAGATGAAATAAATCTGTTGCAGGAAAAATTCAGAATTCATGTGATGGTATACAACTACTGAAGAACCATACTCTGTGGGCACTTTTGTGCATTTATTTATATTTTTTTTATTGTTCAGAGCTCATTCAAAACCATCTCTTGCTTTTATGGACTTCTGTGCACAACTTCGAAATATGTTTACATTTCCAAAAAGAGGCTAAAAATTCTACATTAAGGATATCAATAGAAATAAGTGATATCATATAATATTGTGGTTAAAAAATGATCAAGCTTATCCAAAAAATGTCCTTCACTCCATTCAAATAGGAATTTATACGTGCCCAGTATATATGATAGTGCCTGAATATTATAAAATGTTTTTTGGTTAGTGTGCTATCATTTTTTGTGTGCAACCTTTTTCCCAAATTTGGGTTTGTGCATGATTTTGTCAGGAGAACTCCGCTTGGATTTTTCTGGAATTTTGAAAACAAAACGATGCAGATTGGAAATAGATTCACTTTGAATATTTGTCTGCAGTATTGCTCGGTATGTGTGTCATGTCTTGCCCCAAAATCACTAATTACAACATCCAACTGACTCAATTCAAAGAATCTATGCGATGACTTAAACCACAAATCACAAACGCCTTCAAAATGTTCTTATGCAGTCGCACAAATATCAACTTAAACCAGTGAAAAATCCTTCAGCTTGTAATGTCAAAATGACCATTAAGGTCAAGGAAATGACCAAAAATTCAAATCACTTGACAATGTACAACCAATCAGTACATACTTTCTGCTTTCACAGCTGTGGGGTGTGGTTTGGAGGAACTGCTCTCTGCCTTTGCTGGCGATGGGGTAGACGGCACCTTCACAGGAGATTGTTGAGCAGACGACACTTTAACAGCTGGGGTTGTCTCCTCCCTGACAGATGTCGTAGTTGTTGTTGTTGTCGTAGTAGTTGTTACTGCTGCTGTTGATGATGATGGTGCAGTTGTTGCTGTAGTCGATGTTGTTGGTACTGTTGTTGATGGATGCGCTGGAGATTTGGCTTCAGAGGCAGCTTCCTCGGCATTCTTTTCTGCAGCCAGACGCGACGCACGTGCTGCTGATCGTGTTCTTGGCGCTGGAACAGGTTGTGGGGCCTCCTTAGCATCTTTGGGTTTGTCTTCTGAAGGTGGGGGCTAAAGGAATGGAAGTTTCAGATCATAATTATTGGCCAGAAAGAATATATTTTAGCCTACCTACCTACCTACCTACCTACCTACAGAGAGAGAGAGAGAGAGAGAGAGAGAGAGAGAGAGAGAGAGAGAGAGAGAGAGANTAGGAGTTTTGTTTCTTCTCCTTTCCTTAGTGACGGTTTCCACAACCTGTTCCACATTAACAGAAGTTGTCATTTTTGTGATCTCTTCTTCCTTACTTCTTTCTGCTAATTTTTTGTCTGCATCACAATCACGGGCGATCCCGTTCACATTAACCATAACTCTACTACCAGCAGTTTTTGAAAATGTTTCAGCTTGCGGATGAAGTTGCAGTGCTGCTTTATCCAATTCTACATCACTTTCTATATGAACCTCTGATTCTGCATCATTTCTCCATGGATTCCTATTCTCATCTTCCTTCTCCTCTTCTTCAATCCCAGAATTCATCTCTGCTGATGACTTCCTGGACACAGCTTTAGAGGCATCCTTCAAGGTTTCTTTAGCTATATTTCTGTCTCCTTTCATTAACAAATAGGCACTCTGTCTCCTCAAGTCATCTGAGGCAGATTGGGCTTTTAAAGTTTGTATAAGGTCACCAAGCAAATCAGTTTCCGACTCCTCAAGATGAAAACTGCTGCGTGATAAATTGGACAGGGGTCTTTCTCTCCTGTCCCTATGAGGTGCACTTTCCAAGGACGAGACCGATTCAAAGTCTTCAACTGGCTGCCTTGGAGCAGAAAGCCTCCCAACCTCAAAAGATTCCAGCGGTAGAGTTTCCAGATCTGGCAGTGAAAGTTAGTAAAGAAATAGTGCAAGATGAACATGAAAAGCAAGACATACTAGTAGAGTGTGTACATTATGTTAACTGACTACATGGAGGATGCATTACCCTGTGCATTATGGCACTATGCAGCTGAGCATCTGAGCTACCCTCCTTGGAAAATTGTGTGGTCAAATTATATGATAAATAAATAAATATAGGAATTTGCCACTGAAGTGTGATATTTAGATATCACCAATGGAGAAAGATTAGCTATAAGACAGAATACATTGAAATTCAGTGAAGTTAAAATTACAGATGCTTAGCTGCTCTTTAGGGCAATTCACTACAGAATAGAGTATGTGGAGTGTGACAGCTAAAGAAATAACAGTGAAATGTGTTAAGAAGGAATTTGGATTATTTTTATAAATACTGTTAAAAGAAAAACCGTCAGTAGAATAGATAAACTATATAATGCAGTTGAGTAAGACACAAAAAGGTGACAAACATATACACACTACTAACACTTAGTAAGACTTTTACTACATTAAGCAGCCTTTAACTACATATCAACCTCAACATGTAGAACAGTGCAATGATTCAGTGTTAAACAGAAAAATAATGTGATGTTGCATTAAGTGTAATGGTGCTGACCACAGTTCAATTTGAATATTGCTGATTGTTGGATATAGTTGATAATATGCAGCTGTGGTAGATGTGATAGTATAGTCTGTCAAATAAGGTGCACTGTGCTATTGTGTTGGATGTGAGTTATAGTCTGTCAAATGTGTACTGTGTAATGTGTATTGTGTTAGATATGACAAAGTGCTGAGCATGTGCAACAGAGCACAATGAATTAACAAATGTGTTAGCTGTGTCACTGTCATTGTGTTAGGTGTAAATGTACATGCTGTCAAATAAGGTACAATGTGCTATTGTGTTAGATGTGACAGAGTGCTATGTTAATCACTGCCATATGTGGTGCTGTTTCTCATATCAACCTGCGATAGATATTGATATATACGTGGGAATTCGAGAAATCTTCCTCACCATCAATGTAGCGTGTCCATCTTTCACTAAAATCACTGACCTTATTAAATGACCTTGACCTTACTATATGACCTAGACCTTACCTACAACAGACTGCGGTCTCATCTTCCTCATGTACATGCTCTGCCTTTTGCTTCGGACCTTGGGAGAGTCCTGCAAAACCAAAAAGCAGGTACTATACAGATATCCAAAATTAACATTAAATCCTACCAAATAAATTTGCATTAGGAAATTCAAGATTACTTCTTTGCTATCTTTTTTCCTTTAACATGGGGGAACATTGAGCCACAGAAGTGTTACAGGGTTTATTGTATGGAAAATTGAACCATAATGCTTCCTAATAATGAGAATCATTTTCAATGTCTCTTAACCACAAAGGACTTTACTGTCAGTTTTTAGGTTTTTTCAAAAAAACCATCCACTTCAAATCCACTAAGTTTACTAATAAATATAAATATGACTCAAGGTGGAAATAACAGACTGCTAAAACAACACATTATCAACATTTCAACAATACATATATTAAAAGATCATTAGTATGGACAGTTAGTACTTAATGGGTGAAATACAATGGAAAGCACATATTGTATATGCAACAATGTCTGATTTCTAAGCACTCTGTTACCTATAATGAAACGTTTTTTCATCTTAACTAACCTAGGATAATTTAGACACTCAGTATCACAATGATATAGAAGGATATTTTGGTTCAGTCTGAACAAACACTTCACTCTTAGATGTCCCCCTTCCAGAATTCCTCCTACCCTACAAGTCCAGAAGTTCTCATATCTAATGTCTCTAATCACAAAGTATATACTTTTCAGGTATGTCATAGGGAAATGTCAAAATTTGAATATTAAATAATTAAAGCAAGAAAAAGATAGGTCTAATATATATTATTCTACACTTTGCCTTGATGAAGAATAGATGCTTAGTGCAAAATATTGTGAATCTGTTACCAAATGACACACCTGATGCATTATCTCCATTCAATACTTTATTCCTTAAAATACCCCTCCTCCCAACCCCAGTATGTTTCTTCCTTCCCTCCTTATTTCAAATACTTACACCCCACGCTGGCCATGTGGGAAATAACAGAAGCTATAGGGTAAAAACAAGCAATACATGAGAAACAATAGGCACATTTACACAACAGTGACATTTCTATACACAACTGGTTTTAAAAGTTAAAACATTGTTATCACATGCTACTCATATCTTTACTGGGGTAAACTAAGACATAAATAAACTAATGTCTACTTAGCAAATATATCATGCATATTTTACATTTAAAACCATTACAATGATTTTAATAAAATGGATAATTCTTGAACATAGTGTTCAAACATTTTCTACTTATTACATAACAATTATTATAATAAAAATGTTGTTCTTTAAGACAATGCGCTTTTTTTAGGATTCTGATCATTCAAGTTTGTATAATATTCATAAACCCTTTTCTCTGTTCTCTAAACCTTTCACAGGCAGCATGCTGTTCACAACAACAGAATGTCAAACCAAAAGACAGCAAGCCCCTCAACATCAACAAATCTTGTATCACCAACATTACAAAATTTATAACATTCAAACAATGATGAAATAAAATGCCATGCAAAAAAATCCTGAAAACAATTTTAAAACTGTAGAAGAAAGAAAGAAAAAAGATTTATGGATGTTTTGGTATGGGATACAGAAACCAAGATCCTTGGTATAAAAATTACATCCCCACTACCAGTGATTCCTCTGTGGCATATCACAAAAGAATGATTTTGGTATGTGATATTATTTTGAGTACTAGAAATACTATTCAAATTCTTATCAAAGAATGATTATACTAAAATGTTGCTTCATCCATGATCTTTCGAATAATGAGTTTTCAACAGAGATATTTTTATGAATTAACTGAATATTAAAATCCCCTTTTCATATTATTTTAGTTATACTTTGCTAATAATGATATAAAACTATAACATGCAAAAGTACAAACTATACTGTAGATAAGAAATGGAATACAATAAAAAAATGAAATACGTAAAAGATAAAAAACAAAGCCCATTTCTTTCACACCTTCACTGCACAATAAATAAATAAATAAATAAATAAATAAATAAATAAATAAATAAATACTCTAGCCAGGCACCTTCACATCCATGCAGTGATACACAGGGTGCTGTGATGTACAATAAAAACAATGTGCTAAGCACTATCAGCTGAACCACATCATATTAGCACCTATGACACTTGATATGGAAAAAGATAGGCTTCGCTCTATTTGATCCATTTTGGTTTATGTAATTATTATAGTTATTGTGCAAATATCAGTAATTGTCAAACAACATTTAACTGAGTGTCTTGCTGTACCTAATTTTTCCATATCATATGTCTTCCCTTCCAAGGTGCTTCTAATTGTTGACTCTACACCCAAAGAGTCACTTGCAAAAAAAATTCCAAATCAAACACCTACAAAAAAAAAAAAAAGGGACTCCCCCAGTCCCTGCCTCATACTGCTTAATATCCAACATCTATACCACTGTTGAAGGATTTTCTTTTCCAAATCCTTGTTTAATTTCACCTGGTAGTCCCTACGATAAAATGTTCAACAAGATGCCAATAATAAAAAGATACCCTTCACAAAGATACCCCACCTTTTCCCACCAACGAAAACAGTGCCACTATACCAGTACATACCCCAGGCGAAGGTTTCTCTTTCTCTTCCCTGTCAATGGTAAACTGTTCCTTCTCGCTGCTCTCTCCATCCTGCTTCTCCTCTTGCTGGACCTTCTCAGGCAGCGCCCTTTGCAGGCTCTTCCGTGTATTCAAATGATTGGTCTGCAATGAAACACATACAGCAATGTAAAAATGTGATCTCATCAGGAATAACTTAAGAAACAAACCAACTGACATCAATGAGGATTTATCAAATGGGAAGGTTCTTATGTATTGAGGGACCAGTTTTATACAGTCATGATAAAAAAGTAGCAATCATCATACCAATTTCATTTGCAAAATTTGCATGTGAATATAAAACAGATTTGATCAAAATTCCCACCACAAAAAAGTATTCATTGATGGTGATGCTAAATAGTCTATGTCTAGAGTCTAATAAGCATTTGGTCAAAACATACAAAGGGTTAAAACAAGTCGCTCTCACTGTTGCTCTCAGATTTTCATCTAACAGTATAAGTGCACATAATTCCCAAATTAACCAATCTAATACCAGACAGTTTGCTTAATTGTGTTAGATGTGATAGATGCAATGTGCTGATTGTGACAAAATCTCACCAATGTTTTCTGAGTTGTTCCCAATGCTTCTATCACTTGGTCCACCATTCTGTCAGAGATGTAGGCTGCCACTGACAGGTTCAGTTCACTACCAGGCAAAATACAAATATCATCTTAGACATGTGAGTGATAATACAATAAATAAATCATCAAAGAAATTATAATATTATTAAAAGTTGACGTTAAGGAGTTTGTGATCAACAGGCTGAAATTTCTCTTGGACATTTTGTGCTGCCAACTGGTAGTCACAGACAGACAACTAGAACCAAGGTCCATGGAACTGTAAGGGGTATTATTCAACTTTTCTTGAGTTTTTTGAATGAAGACTTTTGTAATCTATGTATATATTCTACTCAGTAAAAGCAGCCTGTCTACCATAACCTAATTAATGATTCACATCCCAATCAGTGCTGGATTTTGGATAGCAATGACATTTATTAAACCATTAGGGCTACAGTTTTAAATGGAATTGAAGAACTTGCTTTTGAAATTAAACATAATAAAATACACATATGTTATCATTAACATCAAAGTACACACCTTATTTTATTGAGGACATCTGTTCCCACTTGGTCCATGATAAGAATCTTGGTGAAATCTTTGGGGAACTGGCTCCTCTCTGTGCTCCCCTCCTCCAGTTCTTCCTTCACCGTCTCACTGTCTAACACCCCAGGGCACTGCTCCTTGGCACAGCTCAACATCTCACTGACTGTACCCTGGATATACAGGGGAATTTAGAGCAATGAACACTGTGACCATATGTTACTCTATATTGAACAAACAGTTACTGTACCCTGAAAATGCAGGGGAATTTAGAACAATGTACACTGTGACCATGCGTTACTGTTTATCAAAAAAATTTACTGTGCCCTGGAAATTCAGGGGAATTTAGAACAATATACTACACTGTCCCATATATCACTTACTGCATAATGAATAACTCAATGTCCTAAGGTTGAGAGAAGAAACCAAATGGTGACATGTTTCATATCAAACACTGAGTTTCTGTGCCTTGTAAATTCAGTGAAATTTCAGTAATGTATGCTGTGACAAGTTTCACTTACTGTTTAAAATTGTATATGATTGTATGATCCTGTACGTGTTTGCATGAGTTTATATCACAAAAAATAAAAAAATAAATAAATAAATAAATAATAGTAAACATAAAAATTAAAAATCAATAAAAAAAAACTCATAAGTTCCTCACCTGGTCACTGGCATTCACTGTCCTGTAACATATAATAAATATACCATGTCTTATACTTACCTTCATCTGCTCCTCAACCAGATCTCCCAGTTCCTGTGTTATAGACTGCAGTTTGGCCTGGACTGGGTTCCCCTCGGCCTCTTGACTCAGAGCTATCTCTTGGAGCTTTGGGAGAAGCTGGAAAATTGTAAGGGTAATATCAAATAAATGTCAATTACTTAAAATCTCAATGCTGCAAATCTGTGTTGAATAAAACCATACCGCAGCATACCTTATATACCACAGTATACCATAATATACCACAGTATACCATAATCACATTACATGCCATATGGTGTGGTATCAATCCAAACCATATCATAGTATACTACATCATATGATAACAGTACCACGCTAGACGTAATTATAACTGTTGTCCTTCAATAACATACCACACCATACCATTCCACTTCCTTCTATCTTGTACCATAAAATACTGTGGCACACTTGACTATATTATGCTATACTGTACTAACTGCATATCAAACTGTAATTCCATTAATTTCTTGATTTTTATGTCTGATTCAGCAATGAATCCATGTATATTATACTGTTACATTTCATTTCATTGTACCACATCTGATCAAACCATACCATACCAGGTCATATTATGCCACACCACACCACACCAAACCACACTACACCACTTTCTTGTATCAGATACCATGGCATACCACACCATACCACTTCCTTACATGCTATATAATACCATACCATACCATACCATACCATTTCCTTCTACTGTATACCACTCCATACCATACCACACCACTTCCTTATATCCTAGACCATACCACACCACTTCCTTATATCCTAGACCATACCACACCACTTCCTTATATCCTAGACCATACCATACCATTTCCTTCTACTGTATACCACTCCATACCATACCACACCACTTCCTTATATCCTATACCATACCATACCACACCACTTCCTTCCATCCTAGACCAAACTGAACCACACGCAATACCGTACCTGTTTAGAGTTGTCAGCATCAGTGATGTACTGCTGTCCACTCTCAATGTCCGCCCTGAACTCATCACTAGAACTCATGTTCAGGGCATTGATGGTATCCTGCAGGTGCACTACTAGCTTGTCCACCATCTGAATAAGACATTAATGGCATTGAATCATGATCTACATGAAGGATATATACAGGTTTTTATACTATGAGAACTGTATAACTGAATTATGGTAACTTGAAGACTGAAAACAAGAATGCTTATAATACAAAGGGAAACTATTATATTAAGAAATAAATATTTAGACTATTACAATGTGAAATCAATTTCTGGTTAATTTTTTAAATATCATGTAATCATATTATGTTCTGACATTGGGATATGATGAGAAAGATAGTATCAGCACACCTGCTGTGTAGAGCTGATCAGAAATCCCTGCTGTAGTCTAAAAGCCTGTTCACTGGCAAATTTCCTAGGACTGTGATTTCTCTGCAAGAGTCTTTCAATCTGAAAAACATTATATAATAATAATAATAATGATGATGATGATGATAATAATAACAACAATAATAATTAAAAATATTAATACAAGTATATATATAATAATATATGGCATATGCATATAAGAATGATCTTTAGACTAAATATCATCTCTTTTATAACGATACATGAATGCACAGACACATATTACTTGACAGGAGAGGGGCAAACTTTTATTAATATTATCTTCAATACCATCATAAAGTATCATTCACAAGATTACATATAACTCACAGTCTGCAGTGCTTTTTCTGTTCTGTCTGGTGTGACCTTCAGAGCAGCTGCTGCATCATGGAAAGGAGCAGGCATCTTACGCACTGTGTAGTTCCTAGGGTAGACAAACAGTGGCACATTACACTTGTTAAAAAATTCTCTTGAAGACAAAGTGTCTACTATATTCTTTAGGATATAGGGATGCAATTATGATTTTGATTGATGATCATCTATTTTCTGCTGAAATGACTATGTGAGGTATCCTCTACCTGAGGTGTTCACAACTTCACCTCCCAAAACCTGCCTCTCATCTTTTTAAACCATTCTCCTGGTGACATCATGGACAACAAAATATTGATGTGCAAGAAGTGCCTCTAATAAGTAGGGTTGTTCAGAAGAACTTGATACTGTCACAATTACTGAGCATAACGCAGCTGCTGTAACTCTGTGCTAAAATATCTACGAACAAGAGAAACCTCCAGGTATGTGCCTTAACCTACTTCTGCAAAGCAGCTGCTATGTCTTCAAATCCCTGCACAGTTGTGTTGTTCTTGTCCCAGACTAAAGCCGTCAGCTTAGTGTTGATCTGTAGTGCTTTAGCCAACATCCTGGCACCAAAGTCGCCCATACTATTGCCACTAAAACAAACAATGGAAACTGTAAGGCCATCATAATAACATTTTGCTCAAACACTTTTTAATAGCTTAAACAATTACGGTAAATGTTGGATCTTTTACTCATTATTAGGTTTTTGTCTTTTTAAAATTTATTCAAAATTCATAGGCTTTAAAAGTTCTCCTTCAATGTTGAAGATGTCTTTGACCATCCAACATCATCCCATTCCATATGTGACCACCACATAACAGTAAAAACATAGTTCAGACACTTATATAAATCATCCATGAATACCAGTCTGGACTCATTTAAATACTAATAAATAGCAAATTTCAGATCCTCACTACACATAATCTTCTTGGTAAAGAAACAGAGCATCTAAGGACATTTTGCAAATTACGTGATGATCTTGTTCAATAGTCTTTTTCTAAACAGAGTTCAGTGACCAGTGGTCAGTAAACAGAGTTCAGTGA